ACCTCATATTGTGTCACTAAATTATTTAATCCTTTCACGGGTTGTTGCCAGGCTGCAGGTAATGAATGGATACACCATTGGTCTTGGTTTGGGCTCATTGTATTATGTTAACTTGGTGAGTGCAGACAGATAGATGCCAGTGCTGAAGAAACACATTTTAAAGGAGCAATATGTAAGAATTCTGCAGTGAAATAATCACATAACAGTTTAATGTCTCGATGATGTAGGAAGGGCAGTTACATTCAAAATGATTTCCTTCTCAACCATTTGGGGAGATGTCAGATTTTCTCCTTTCAAAAAAAACCAAAAGAGGGACATAATGATGTTTACAATCTGTGAGCCCGAAAGGTTGCAGAGTCTGCGCCGAGCTAACGCTGCAGCGCTGGCATTTGTAATTCAACACTGGCAAAAACAAGCTCCAGAGTTGTTCAAAGAACCAAACCCAGTAAACAGGAGTGACCCAGAAGGTATTTCTTGTGCCCCTAAGAAGTCACGGCATCTTTTTGTTTTACTCTAATATCAGGTAAAGAAGGCTAAAGGGCTAACACTGAGCTAACAATGCTAATGGTGAATTAGAATCAAATAGTCTAACAATTTGAGTAACTAGCGTGTTTTACAGCCATAGTGTAATATCTTTACTTGTTTATTATCAAATTCTGTTTAACCATTCACAAACTTGTCTTTTTTTAATTAATATTTATCACTAACGTCTATTCTAAATATTCCTATTAGCTTGAAATTTCACATTTCTATATTCATAAACTGTGGCTGACGCTCCATTGTCATGTACCATCATAAAACACTGTAGCTGTTTAGGACCATACAATATGTATGCTCCGCGTTTTGTTTTAGCACTTTGACTGACCGCATGTGATCACTGGATTGAAAGCTGGAAGTTGTTTATAACTGTGGCAGTGCGCACACAGCCATGGGAGGAGATGAGGGGCGTGACAGACTCAGCAGATGAGCCTGACGTGTTAGAAGCAGCAGCACTGGAGCAAGAGGTGATGGGTTCTTTATGTTTTAAGAAAATGCAGAGAACCATTTGTCCATCACAGCGTGGGGCTTTATTCACAATCAGACAAACAACAGAGTCAACACTGGACAGTGGATGTTACCAAAATGTGTTTCCTGGAAAAGTACAGAACATTAGTAATGCTCAAAATGCACTTAGTTATACCAGAACTCCGCCTTCAGATGAATTATCCTTACTGGAACTGATGACAGAATGTACTACATAGCAGGACGCTGGCTCTTGTGAACTATGTTCAGCCACTGTTCTCAGGCACAACTTCGCAGCTCCAACAGAAGCAGCAGAAACAGTATTTAAAATATGTGGTTGAAAGCTGGTGTGTGACTTTTTCTGTGTGTGACCCAGAAGTAGCTGTTGTGCTAAAGTGTCTCCCTGTCCCCCGCAGCTGTGCACACACCACCACAATGACACACTGCCTTTCTGACGTGTGTGGGCTAGTGTAGCTGCAATGCCTACTCTAAACTGTGTGGGGCTAAGGAGTCGAATGTTTTTACACACTGGGGCTTTAAGAAGACCACTTTGAACAGGAAATGTTAGGGTGCACAGTAGTTACCTCCAAATACTTATTCTCAACACAAATCAACAATAATCAAATGTGAGCTAGAATTTTTCTTTTTAATTTTTCATTATTTCTAAAACTGTTTATTTGTTGAAAAAAATCAGTTCATCCCAGTTTCAACAGGACAATAGCTCTTCTAAACAAGTGTGTGTGTGTGTGTGTGTGTGTGTGTGTGTGTGTGTGTGTGTGTGTGTGTGTGTGTGTGTGTGTGTGTGTGTGTGTGTGTGTGTTGTCAAATAAATGAACCAGAAAATTCTTAGGTTAAAACACTTTATAGGGTTCAGCCATTTGCTAAGCAAGCCGGCTGCTGGCTAAAAACATTTTGTGCAACCAGCCATGAGGTCAAGCTACTGTTAAGGATGAAAGTGGATCTTCTCTTTTGTGGTCTATGAAAAGGGAATAAAGCTGCATTTGTTGAACTTAATCCAAGTGGAAAAGATCTAGCCACTTAGATATTTTATTGTCTTCACAACTTTTGATTATTTTTTTATAATAGCATTCAAATAAATTTCTGTTGATAAAAGTCATTTTATAATATTTGATGGTAACAAACACAGAGGCCAAATGCCTGTTGACATTTGTGTTTTCAGCCCAAAATCATCGCTGATGGTTTAATCTTCCATCTAAATCGGTTTGACAGGTTCTACTTTATTTTCTGTAGGTCTGTGTGACAATTTTGGATCAACATCAGTGAACAGTTTGCTCCTATTAATTGTAAAAGGCTGTGCATTCTCTTATTTCTGAGGTGATGTCATGGCACATTCAGGCCCACAGTAAAGTAGACAGCCAGAAATAGCACCAAGCAAGAGTTGCTTGCGTTCGGTGATCTGCTCACACAAAGCTAAATATCACAGATACAGAAATGCACGCGAAGAACTGTTTCATCACAGGCTTCAATATGTTTTATCTTTGGCCAACATTTTCTGAATTTCACAGATAAAAACAGAGATTTCACAGTTTACTTGACAAGCTAAATTACAGCATTGGCATAAGGGCTTTATTATGATTTCTATTTATAGATTTAAGGATGATTTTTTTAGAGCAGCTCTTTTAACAGCCAATCAGCACCGATAGCAAAAGCTCCTGTAATGAATAAACAGAGGGCGAGGAAGAGATTGGCTAAAAATGGTTAATGCAAATTTGGATATAAGTATCTTTTAAAGGAAAACATTTACTTTTTGGTTTGGGGGAGGGGTAGGCCACCTTCAGGTTTCTTTCTCGATATTAACAAAGAACCAACATCTGTTGGCATGACAACGCAACTATGACAACCTCTCTCTGAAAACCTCACACCTGAAACTCACGGGGAAGAAGGCTGAGCAACTCAGTTCCTTTAACAACTAACAAGTTATTTTACTGATTAGTTGGATCTAAAGTAGGGGAGTGTGTAACACGCCAAACTGCTTACTTCTTCATTTTCCGTACATTCTGCTGCTCTGGATTCATTTTTAATGCATCTTTCCTGACTTATGAAGTGGGCCACACATACTTAAAGTTTAACGATTAGCTTAGGTACTTACTCTGTAAATGTTGCTCAAGTGTTCACTTGAGAGAATAATGACACGCCGCAAGATGCTGGACATTTACATTTCTCTGAAGCTACCCAATCAGCTCCCATTATTGTTGTAAGTTTGAGTCAAAAATATGATTTAAAATTAATGCTTCATTAAAAATGCCCAACAGCAGTTATCAGCGATAGAAAAACAAATTACCCCAAAAGGACAATTTTGCAAATGAGACACAAAACACAATTTCATTACTTTTGAATGAGCAGTTTTCATCATTACGATCAACAAAATATGATATCTAAAATGATTTTGAATCCTTTATTTGTTGGGAGATGATCTGAAAGGCTCCCGTCTTGTTTAAATCCCTCACTGACACGATGAATTGACATCTCGCAGGGAAGTTGGATGAGATTTCAAAGGATCATCACAGAGGCCGTCAGGATGTGTGAACAGAGCCAGGAAATAATCCAGAGTTAAACAGATGGCTTGTGTGCATAATGTTTGCATGATAAACAGGGTTTGTTAAAAGCAAGGAGGACGCGGGCAGTAGAGGGCGACACCGTCCTCTGCTGCCCGCGGATAAAAGGAAGTGACACCACCATCACCAGCGATCGGCTAGAGCTGCTATAGCTGAAACATGTAAGGTAAATAAATCATTTTTAGGGTAATTGTTTAAGAAAAGAACTAAAAAATGGAAAAGCGTTCAGTCTCAGGGATAATGCCCAAGTAAGTAAGGAACAAAAACAGAAGCTCTCGTTTTATTTAACAAGCTCAAATCCAGTTTTTAGAAGATGATTTCTTATCCGCCCATCAATTTACTTTCACTCATTTGGGATTGGGTCATGGGGGCAGCAGCCTAAGCAAAGAGGCCCAGACTTCTCTCTCCACGGCCACTTGGGCTAAGCTCCTCCAGGGAATCCCAAGGTGTTCCCGTGCAGGCCAACCAAGAAACATAGTACCTCCAGGGTGTTCCGAGTCTTCCTTTAGGTCTCCTCTCAATTAGAAGTTCCCAGAAAACTCACCAGGGTTGCGTTCAGGAGGTATCTGAACCAGATGCAAGAGCCACCTCAACTGGCTCCTCTTGATGTGGTGGGCACTTTACAATATAACTGTTATTCACACACTAATGGTGATGAGCAACAACATAGCCAAAGCTGTCCTTGGATATTCTACCTTTATTCAACTCAAGACCATGGTCTCGGATGAAGTCATTCACTTCACTTGGCAATGAACTGCTTCAGCAAATTTTGGAGATTACAGTCTGATGACGCCAACAAGACCACATCATCTGCAACCAGCAGACACCTGATCCTTAGGCCACCAAAACAGATCCACGCAACACCTTGGCTGACCCCAGAAATCCCGCTATAAAAGTTATGAACAGAATCATGATGGAGGGCAGCCTTGGTGGAGTCCAACTCTTACCAGAAACAAGCCCAACTTATTGCTGGCAACGCCAACCAAGCTCTGAAACCTATTGTACGTAACAGCCTGAATCAAGGGACCTGGTACCTTATACTCCATGAGTCCCCCCCACAGGACTCCCTAAGGGAACACCTTCTCCAAATCCACAAAACACATGTAGATGTGTTGGTTGAACTCCCACGCACCTTCCAGGCCCCCGCTAAGGGTCCGGTCAAGCGTTCCATGACCAGAACGAAAACCACATTGCTCCTCCTGATGTCTCAGTGGAGGGGCATGAGGTATGACAAAAACACAAGGCCCGTTTATTTCAACCATAAAAATCTGTATAATAGCCAATCTTATCAAAGAAGCCTAAATAGCTCCTTTTCTCTGAATCTGATCTAATGAATTGTGTAAATGCATAAGGGCTGAGGATCATGTGTCTGATTAAATAAATTGTTCATTACAATTCAAATGGAACCTGGTTGGTACCAACCTTCAGGAGAGGGACAGGCAGAGGCTTATTATCCTTGTCGAGGGAGATGTAGGTGAAGAACGCTGAGACAGCACGGTAGCTCACTTTCTCATCGTCCACCAGTGAGGCGGCGTCCACCAACGCTTCGATTTCCATGGACCTGTTGCTGGCAAACGTGAGCCGCCCTGTCACTGTCACCACACAACCTTGGAGAGACGAAGGAGCAGATCAGACTGGTAAACTGGTTTTCTGGGTTTCAAATACGAGGAATGTTCTAGAAATCTGTTTTACATTCAGCGAAAGCTTCATTAAGATTTACAAACATTTTTCAAGATTCAGTTTTAATTCATGCTACGTTGTCCTTCAACCATTAATTGATCATTTTAGGAAAATATAAACTTTTATGAAGGTAAATAAAAAAGTTGCAAAAGAAAAAGCTGAGAAACCGCATTATAATTATCTCTGACCATGAACCGACGTTGAAGGCTGATTACTGTTGTACTTTTTAAAGTCTGTCCTGTAAGGATCAACATTTACCGTTTCCTTTCACTACAGTAACCCAGAGGTAAACATTAGGTCACATTTCTTCAAACGCTTCAGAGTTCATGTTTGCATCCGGTAGATGTGCAGCAGCGAATCTCCCTCTTTTGCTTTTGATTTTAAACTAAGATTCATCTAAACACGCTTGATCGAAACATCATAACTGTGTCATTTTCTCCTTTTGTCAACACAAAGAGGTAAAAAACAGTCAGACACAAGAACTGGGCATAGCGGATGTGTTTCTTTATTCTCTTTGATGTGCCTGCATCAGATTATTACTGCTGTTGCCATAGAGATGAGAAGAGAAGGTGTTATCTCTGCAGTCTGAGACGGATCCTGAGTAAATGTCTAAGCTCTTATAAAGCAGGCAAAATCCTAAGTAATAAAATACACACGTTAATATTTCAAACGTTTATTTAAGGTTGCTGTGATGGGATAAATGAGAGTTTTTAGTAAAGTAAAAGTACCAACACAGCAAAAAACCCTCCTCATTTAGATGTTAATGCAGACTAGGGTTGGGAATCGAAAACCGGTTCTTGTTGAGAACCCATTGATTCCCATTGATTCAATTCCTAGGAATTGTTTGGCACTTTTGCAAACGAGTCCCCTTATTAATTCCAGTAGGCGCGAATGACGTCACCACGCACACTGCGTAGCTTACAGAAGCAAGAAACATGGCATCTAAGCAGCACAAACGCTCACAAGTTTGGTCCTATTTTACAAGAAAAATCCTATTTTACAGGATTACAACAGGGTAACCTGCAATAATTGCATGGTAGATATTTCATCAAGGGGAGGAAAGGGCATTTGGGCACAAAATACGCAATAACTTGGAGTTAATGACAAGTTTTGACCTGCTCCGGACTAGTGAATTTCAATGCAGCAGCAGCAGTCCTCTCCTGTTAATACTGCAGGTAACTAATCAACTAACACTGCTTATCATGTTAGCATCATTAGCCTCAGATACACTCGCCTAAAGGATTATTAGGAACACCATACTAATACGGTGTTTGACCCCCTTCACCTTCTGATCTGGCTTAATTCTACGTGGCATTGATTCAACAAGGTGCTGAAAGCATTCTTTAGAAATGTTGGCCCATATTGATAGGACTGCATCTTGCAGTTGATGGAGATTTGTGGGATGCACATCCCAACGTGTGAATGTGTGTGTGAATGGGTGAATGACTAAATGTGTTGTAAAGCACCTTGGGAGGTCCCAGGACTCTAGAAGGTTCTATAAAAAAAATTAAACTAAAATTGCTGCTTGATGTCAGATGTTTTTCCTCTCCGCTGCCAGGATTAAAGCCGTTAAAAACACACAGCTGTCCTTCTCAAAATGATGCAAGGAGCAAATAAGCCGTCAGGTCACATGTATTGACGTAATCTACATAGATAAGAAATTGCATCACTGTAAGTCTTTTATCTTGAAAATTAAAAGTTTTACACTGAAACCATGTAGGATTTCCTGTCTAGCCCCATTTTAAAGTGGCAATGCATATTTTCCCTGAGGATAGGGGGAAGTACATACCTAAATCATTGTAAGCAAGCAGTATTTTTGTGTTTGAGTAAGACCTTACCAATGCATGACCATTATAGCTCTTTTCCATCGCCTGGTCTGGAACAGTCAGGTCTGGGTATTATGGACCGGTATGTACCGGGGACGTACCGGACGTGGTTGAACATGGGTCAAAAGGGTCAAAAGTCCCTGGGAGCGCAACCTCCGGCAAAATGAAGACACATCTGACTCATTGTCATCACTGGCAACGAGTGAAGAGGTAAATGTGTGAAACAACAATGTTTATGAAGTTTTGTAACTGTTTGCTACAAATCAGTAAATGAATTTTGTCCTCACAGGCTCCCCTAGAAAGAAACATGTCATATGGCGTCGCCCAGAGACGTTGACCCACTCCCATTTATTTTAGACTCAATTTTTATGGTTATATGTTATGAAGCTGCCAATATTTGACTGGGCATTATTTAATTTATTCTCAAAATCATTTAGATGGATATTTCCAGAGATTGACAGTAAAAACTACACATTGACACTTTAGCTGTGGAAATTGACGTGTCTGAGAAGCGGCTAGCGACAAATAGAACCCAGTCCTTTCTTTAGCGGTACGGCACTTCTGGGACGCGCTTGTAAATTGCAGTGCCACAGCTGGCTTGAAACACCCCCACAGACTATAACTGGATTCTATTAGAAGCAGCAACGTTCCACTGCTGTTCCGCGCCATTGGTGCTTCCAGTGTGAAATAGGGGTCAGTCATCCAGGTCATGGTAATCCAGAGGGGTTCAAATGAAGGCAACTGGACTTCTTTGGTGCCTCATAGACCTTTAGCTTCTCATCCGAAAAGCTTTTATCAGTTCTGACTGGAATATATATAAAATTTAACTGCCTGTTGTTGCTTAACAAAATTAACCCTATCCTCAGGGAAAATATGCATTGCCACTTTAAAATAGGGCTAGACAGGAAATCCTACATGGTTTCAGCGTAAAACTTTTAATTTTCAAGATAAGACTTACAGTGATGCATTTTCATATCTATGTAGATTACGTCAATACATGTGACCTGACGGCTTATTTGCTCCCTGCATCATTTGAGAAGTTCAGCTGCATGGTGGCGCAGTGGTTAGCACTGTTGCCTTGCAGCTCGAAGGTTGCAGGTTCAAAACTCGGCTGCGGCCTTTCTGCGTGGAGTTGTGTGTTCTCCCCATGCATGCGTGGGTTTCCTCCGGGTACTCCGGTTTCCCCCACAGATCACAACATGCCCTATAGGTTATAAATTGTAAGTCGCTTTGGATAAAAAGTGTCTGCTAAATAAATAAACATAAACATAACAAGCTGAAACTACTCATGAATACCCCTCCTCCCTACACCCTGAGGAGTCATTGGTGTCGTTGGGCTCTATTGTGTTAGAATGGTTGTTTTGATTAGATTCAGGAGGGCGTGCCCTAGACTGAAACTGTTTTGTAATTCGGTTCAGAGCTGCGTTGCAGATGCTCATTAAGTTCACATTGACTAAATCATAAATGTTGCAACTTTTCAGCAGATTCTAACAGAAAAGATTGACCAATGAGCATCACTTACTCAGCTCCTTTTTATCTGCGTCTTACAGAAAACGGGCCACTTTCCATCATTTCAAACTGTCATTAAGCCGTCATCATTAACATGAAGAGATTGTGCAGGAAAAGACTGAAGACTGCACTTGGGTGATTGAGTACAACGACTCTATATCAGAATAAGAAGCAGAGAGACTTAATCCATTTATCTTCTTTGGTGTCGTCTGGCCCTTTGAATGTTTTAACCTGTCAGCATCAGGAGCAGATTCACTCAGATGAACTGCCTTTGGCACAGATCGATCAGGCTCAGCGAAGGGAGCGTGCACTACACAAAAACTGGTCTTGATGATGGATGACTTTTTTTTAACTTTCATGATTAATAATTGATCCATGCAGAAAGTAGATCTTACACTTGTGCAGCACTGAAGGTCAAGCAAAATGGAAACCTGGCAGAGTCCCATTTCTACTCCAAACAGCAACTCTGCTTTCAGGAAGGTGCCAAGGCATCAGGTTGTGAGCACAAAGCTGATCCTGTGCTGAACAACCACTTTTTGCTACATCCTGCCTTGTTAAGATTATGATCTTTCTCTTATTCTCCAGAAATAAAAAGCTTCTTAAAATTACTTTTCTTTTGAATATTAAAATAGCCAGAGCTCTATTGCTTTTCCATTTAAATCCTTCAACTGTAAAAACAAAAAGTAATGCCTAATCAGCAAATAAAGTCTAGAATTAAGTGAAGCACAGATTTAGCTCTAACCCTTAGCATTCCCTTCTCACTCACTCAAATGTCCTTTCATCAGACGTTCAGCTTTTGAGGTTTTGTGCCTTTCTTCTCCTTATTTGCACTCCTGGTTATTTGTTGTAATGGATCACAGAGACGAGCTCTGACTGAACTCTCAGTCCGAGACATCAATAGCTTCACATCTAACCGCCGTATTAGATATCCGCTCTGCCAGAATAAGTCTCTGGATTTCATACTACGGTTCCGGGTTGATTAACTGTTGATAATTTAAACTTCTGCAAACGAGGAACGGTTTCGCTGCTTCAGGCCTGTAACATAATCTAACGCTTTCATAGAACAAAACAAAAGTCCTTTCAGACCTGCTGGATTAAAACTGAGCAAACATACAGAAATCTGAGCCCGTTGTTTTATTAGCACCATCTGCAAGCTTGCTGACAAATACATAATAATAATAATAATAATAATACATAATTGGTCTCTCAGTTAAGTGGCTGGCAAATGAGGCGTGACACAAAAGACACCAGATATTGGGACTTTTAAATGGAAAAACAGCAAAACGCAAATGATGACAAATTCACTAATGTATGTGTTAGATCTAATTTTACCCAATTATGTATCCTAATGGTAGCACAAATACTTAATGTTGTTGATTAGAGGTTGAATAGGCTTTGCATTAATGACACAGAATGAGTCCTTTCAGATAAGTTATTACTAGCCGTGCCGTTTTTGTTGCTTGTGTTGATGCTTGTGCATACTGTGCACTGTCGTTGACTCGGTTCTTTAATACATCATGGATCCTTTTATTGTTTTCCTTAAATAAAATAACGTGTAAAATCTCCTTCGGTTCAGATAAACGCAGGATTTCTCTTTACCTTTGCTGCACCATAAATAAACTATTATTGCAGGTATTGGTATTGTAACCTTGAGCCTCTGGTGCTACTTCCCTTCAATGTGAAACTGCCCTGCTCTAGAAAAATAAAGGTTTTGTGTCCCAAACTCAACATGATTTACATTCTGGGTAGGAAGTAAAGTGGACGGTTCAGGCTCTGCACAGCAGGACCTCTGAAAATCCATAAACAGACCTCATCCTGATTGATGTTTCGGGTCTCAGATCCCACTTGAAAACGACTCAATGTTCATTTTGTTTGTCTTCAAAATGGTAAATAATTATCAACTTTTCTTGCACTGTACACAGTTTATAAAATAAAACATCAACAAACAGTGGAAAAAAACGAAAATCCACACTTTCAGTTTTTTGGAACCCAGTCACCCAATCAAAACGTTAGGGTTGCACACTTTTGCAAACCACAGAAACTAATAATCTCCATGTTCTTGTAGGTACATTGTTCCAACTCATTGTGTATGAATCATGTGATGCACGTAGACCTGGTTTTAAGCTAAGATCCAAGAGAATTCCTCCTTGAGCAAGGTTTTAACCCTTTAACTCCCTCACCAAGAAATAAGCAATGAAAACGTTCCACTTTTGCATTTTTTTGATGTGGGACAGTAAGGGCTTTAGTTTAATGTAAAGTAATAATATTAATAATTAACTACTTGTAGTAATATTATGGTAAAGTAATGGAATATAATAATGTTTTGCCTTTTTCTTAAACAAACCTCATATTTTTAAGAATTTTCTTGATTTACCTTTATTTTTCTTAAGTTCATTTATTGCTTCAATGTGATGTAGGGACTTTAGAGATGCTCTAACAACTGGTTGAGCTGGCAGGCAAAGGGTAGCAAGTCACCCCCAATCCACTTTTTTTGTCTGATAAACAGTATAAATGAGTGTCTAATAGTGCAGCAGACACATTTTTGTGGCATTTTACTGCATCTTGTTTAAGATACTAATGTTTCCACACTTATTTGATAACTTATTTAATAAGTGTTGAAATGTTAGTCTTGTTCGCACCGATTCAAACTTTTTCTCACTTTGAGAGCTCCAGCCTTCCTACTTTTTTTAAAATTCTGATTGTTCACTGGCTGCCTAGCACCGATTAGTGAGTGGACGTCGCGCAGAAGGTCCTGCTTTTTACTCATTAGCTGATCTCAGTGCATCTTAATGGATTCCAACAATAAGTGGGAAAACCCATTTTAAAAGGTTTGTGGATCTGCAACTCACTGAGCTACAAAACCAGTCCCAGATCAGAGTTGGCATTCACAAACTTTAACGGCTCTAATTGTCTGAGTAGTGGGGGATCGGACAGCTGTAAAATATAGAGGAGACCAAAACACCTTTTTGGTCTATAAATAAAACAACAAACTCCATCTGACAGTCTGAGCGCTTGGGAAACAGTGGTGAAGTGGACGTTTGTGGCTTTTTCTGACGTTTCTTTTCTAAAAATGTTTATTTTATTTTTCTTGTGAAGTCAGGGAACCTAAAGCAAAAAGGGAAATCTACAGGTGACACTGATAAGTCACAGTGAAAGCTGTGTCAACACAACATAAAGTATGAGGGGGAGTGGTGCAGCAGATTAAAGATGTGGACGTGGATCTCTGACAAGCTGTGCTGCTCCACGTTTCGGTCCTGCAGCTGTAATTTAATTTTTCTCATCTCTACATTTAGATACAAGAAGAGAAAACACAAGAGAGTGGTATTTTGTAAGTTTTTTTTACTTCAGAACCAAACCAGGGACTTGCTGCCAACTTTGTGGTAAACGACTCACTCAGCTTATGATTCAGCTCACTTTAAATGTTTAAAACCAGTCCCACTGCTCCGTGATGCTCAGAGCCTTCAGAAAAAGGTTTAAAGACGCATGAACTCAAAACTATATATCATGCTTGAATAAAGTTTCTTGCATTTGCAAACACACGTAGTGTAAAATGCATCGCTGGCGCGATCGTCCTGGACTGTGACATTTTCTTTCCACTTCACATTTCAACAATGAAGCTCTTTTGTTAACATTTTGTCCTGAGGTAATCATAACATCGGAACATTAGTACAGGATGTCTGGATCACATGAGATCAGAGTATTTCAGAGACAGAGCTGAGAAAACTAAAACAAACCACTTAAATACTCCTTTCAGGTCATTTACCATTTACCGTCACTGTCAAAGGGACACGTTTTCAGTCCATTAAGGTGTAAAAGTAAACAGATTTTTTTTTTTCAGCTAGTGAAATCTGCCCCATGTTTGAAAGATGCAAATATCTGGGGGGTGGGGGGGTGGGGGGTAAGGGAGGGGGTGGGGGGTGGGTGCATCCTCCACATGGCCAGCAGGGATCCGGTGCTCTAGGTTCTCTCCAGGTTATCCTTACCTTTCTTAATCTTGCGATGAAAGTTGATGGCCTCCACAGACGCCGTGACGATTTTGGTGTTGCAGTGCCGAGCTGCCACAATTCCAGCAACTTCATCCATCAGCTTCATGGTCACACCTGTGGCAAACACCAGCATTGCTTCATTTTTGACAAATTTCAATCAAATTTAATCTAACCAAATTAAAAAACAGACATGTACGTGTTAAGAATGGAACTGTATGACAATGGATTATTTTGTGGGCTGCTGTTTAAAATCTCAATATTTGCATTCGGACCTTAACAGTTATTTTGCTTGTTGTAATTTTGGTTATCGAGACATTTATGGGTATAAAATCTGTTATAGACACAGTCTCAAACAGTCATTTGAAGAACTGCTTCATTTATTTTAAGCTTTTAACAGAATTATTGCTGGTTAGAGCATGTGTAGCCTCCTTAAAATCCAATTGAGTCTGTTACTGATGATGGCATTCTGCTCTCCCGTCACTACCAATGAAACGTCCTCCAAATTAAAGTTGGGAGATAAATGTAGTCATCAGTGCAAAGATTCTTGATTCGTTGAGACTCAATTTCATGAATGTCAAACGTGGGAGCTAATGGCGTTCAAGAGGTAATTAGAAAACCGTCCACCTCTAGCTAAATTATGAATGAGTCTGGTTGCCGTTTCCTCAACATTAGTTTCTAACTGAAACTCATTAGTCCAATGGATGTCCTCAGACTGACAAAATCAAGTGCTTCTTAAAGAGACCATGTGTAGTTTTACCATTATATTCCGGAAATATCCATCAAAATGTTGTTAAACATGAATTAAATGAAGCCCAGCTGTTGAAAAATATTGGCGGCTTTGTAACATTAAACCATAAAAATCAAGCCTAAAATACACGGGAGTGGGTCTAAGTCTTTGGGTGACGCCATATTAGATGCCATGTTTCTTTCTACGGGAGCCCATGAGGACAAAATGCATTTACTGATTTGCAACAAATGGTTACAAAGCTTTTGCCATTCTTAAAGTGGGACTGTATCAGAAAATGTAACTCCACCCCTAGTCAAGATTTGAAAAATGCAATGAAAGTGGGCGTTGCCAGGAGGCACAAAGTAGCATGGCCAAGTGTGGGGAATTTCCATCCTGGGAGAGAGGGGGAGTGGGAGGAGACTGCACTGATGACGTGAAACTGTTCCAGCCCCAGTCAATCACAAATATAAACTGCAGTAGCCGCTGTTCTGCCACAGGGGGCAGCACCAAGACGTTTTTAGACCTAGATTCTAGATTTAATCAAGTTTACACAAACATGTCAAAAAATACACAGAAACAGAAAGATTGCATTTGTAAAGACCCAATTATAGCAAAAAAAAAGTTATTTCAGGGTTTAGTTACTCTTTAAATGTTGTTGTTTTACACATTTACCTTTTCACTTGATGTCACTGATGAAAGGGAGTCTGATGTTCTTGTTATTTAGCTAAAGTTTGTGCTCCCCGGGGATTTTTGACCCTAATGGGCATCCATTGGTAAGGTCTTACTCCAACACAAAAATACAGCTTGCTTGCAATGATTTAGGTATCTACTGCCCCCTATCGTTAGGAAACACACACACACGTACACACACACACACACACACACACACACACACACACATGTACACACACTGTCCCTTTAAGAGTTTAAATAGACTGATCCTCAGCTGACTGCTGTTGAATTGTTAAAATTTGTAATATTTACAGAAGACCGACAGGTCATACACATTTAGTAGTCTCTAGTTTAGCCCTCTTGACTCTTACCAGAATGCCAACAGCATTATTTGACAGATGAAAGTAACACTAAATAGAAGAGTTAGAAACATGACCAGCTTAATACTTGACACCACTCTGCAGCTCTCTGCTGGCTAGATACCGCACTTAACAATTTTGTGGAACAGGTAGCTGTTATGTTAGCAGTTAGCTTTTTCAGTTCGCCAATAATCAATCAAAAACACAAGAAGAAGAAGAAAAAGAAGAAGTTTGCTTTTTTGTTGGCATTATAGCAGAGCCTGGAAATAAAAGTAAGAGAGAAATGTCTTTGGAGGTGAAGCAAAAGAGCTAAAACCAGAGTAAAAATTGGTATAGCCTACACTAGTTTAAGGGAGCTAAAGGAAGCTCCAAAATCATGGACTGATTGTGACCTGACTTTGTTGCTACTGGACTTGTAAGTAATAATATGTTTTGTCCAACAGTGTGGGTCTTTTTACTCATGGTTTATATTAGTATTTGTTGGTTCATGTTAGTGTTAGCCCTTTGTTAGCGCTAGCTACCGTCAGCAGGCTGCAGCAGAATTGTTTATGACAACTGTAATACCGCTTTCAACCAGTAGGGAAGTGGAGCAGGAAACTGCTGTGTTACTTTGAGACACTGGTTACACTTTGTTTCACAACACTTTTTTGTTTCTTAATCAAGCAGCTGTGACCTTAATTAAAGAAAGGGATATTGTTGGCTGATTACTCTGGTTGCTGTTCTATCTCTCATCTCTCTCAATATATCAAGTCTGTAGTTTACAAAACAAGTTTTGGCATTTCAGTTAAAATATGATCTGAATTTACACTGAATTTTATTTTATCTGCAGGCTGTATGATGACCTGTTTGATGCTGAAATGTCACGTTATAACCAACTCCATCAGTAACCACAAGCTCAATCTGCTTGTTCCTGTTATGGTCCTAAAATCACTGTCGGTAAAACAAATCCAATATTCTTTGAAAACGGACACCGCGTGTATTTAATGGTCACCTGTCAACCATCTGAGAGGAGGTGAGAATATTTGATGCGAAACCACTCTGGTTTTAGATGTAGTAATTTTAGACAAAGCAAAATCTAATAAATGGTTCTGAAAACACCAAAAACCTGCTGAATAAAAGTTTTGATGAGGTCATACCACACACACACCCTGGCAGCTGGTGAAATGTGTAAAGGAAATAGTTGTTTGCTGTTTTCTCACAGAAATTGGGACATCTTGTATGGAATGGGAGGGAGGGAGATCAGGAAAAACAAGAGGATGACATCTGCTTCTCATCTTGGAGACAGCGAGCAAGCGTGACGGGTGTTTGTGAGCCTGTGTTCGTTTAAAGACTGTCAGAGCCCTCCGCTCCACACATTCCGCTTGCTCCAGTTGTTCCTTGTGAGCCGCATTATGTATCTTTCATGTTACAGAAAATCAATAAGGATGCTTGCTGGAGGCTGATTTTGCTCCCAAAGGTTTAAACCATCTGCACTGTGTGGCTCCATTAAAGACTGCCAAATGTGTGGGAGTATAAACGGAATGTGCTGCTTGCTCCCAAATGCAGCGTTCATCATAAAAGTAAGCCCACTGAGTTGATGAAGTTTTAAACCTGCTTTTACTCTGACATCCTCTCACCAGAGTCGGAGCACTGCTGTCTTTGTTGTACCGGTGCTTACAGCTACGCTCTAGCGCATGTCAATGAAAGGGATATTTGTTTGTGTGTATATTTCTTGAACAACCTGAACACTGGATCAAACGGATTTTGATTGGTGGTAATCTGGAGGTTAAACTCAGGCCACACAGCATGAATGAGAAATTTACCTCCAACAGTGAGGTGTTTGGTTAAAACTGCTCTCAAGTTCAAGACAAAGACTTAAGGTTTGTGTAGGCAAGGAAATACTTCTTAAACATTTTGCTAAGTATTTCACAATAGCACTTTTTGTCTCGGCGTCTGTGTTGTGCTGCAGAAATTGATCTCAGTTTAGGATTGAAAACCTCCCTCGGGTGCAGGGCACAGCGGATTAGATCCATTGAAAGGATGGAGCGGTCATGTTTGAGCATGTGGAGGGGGATTGTGACCTCAACAAGATGATACAGAATAAAAAGACGAGGTTGCTTCAAAGAGATAAATCTTTCAGATTGAATGTGATAGAGTGAGCCGAAGCTGAAATAGCTGTACGATAATATTTTGATTTAAATTTAATGAATTACTTTGACTGGGATTAAACAAAATGGTTTCCTAGAAGATCTGGAGTTGGTGTTAGTATAATTACAACAGACTCCTGAGAAATGAAACTGGAAATCTCTGGCTCGGCCACTGTGCCAGCAGAACTTCAGCCTTTCCTGTAGTGGTGGGTCCAGCAACACTGACGCACCGACTCATGTGTCTGGTTCATTAGAGTGACACCCGTGTCGGTGTGCAGATCGTTTAGGAAGTAGTCACGTGACCGATACAGCTGCTGTGTCGCTCGTCAGTGAAGCGTCGGACTGTGTTTATCTCCCTCCGTCAGCGGGATGAGTTTCTGCCACAAGTGCATCTTATTCCACGGTTACATCAAGGAGCCAGAAAGAAAATGCAAGGTGGTTCATAAGGGATTATTTTGTTCTTATATCGACAAATACGTTTTTTTGTTTCATTTCTTTGTTTCATCCTGTTCCTCTCAGTTTCTGTTTGATTCATCAGAACGTCGTTTCTAAATTTTTTCTTTTTAAATTGTTCATTCTATTTTAAGCAGGTTAAACGTCACATTTGTTAAACTGAACTTACACTCACTAATAGATGCTGAGACATCACAGATAAATGCATGGGAATTTGGCCGTCCCGCCGGCCATCAGAGCGGTGGGGTGTGCGGACCGGACCGGCCCAAATTAGATAAACAGCCCACCGGGACTAAAACTTTTAGTTTTAACTCTACTTTAACACACCTGATTTCAATCAGCAGGTAACTTCTGAAGAGCTTAATGAGCTGCTGTACAGGTGATTCAACCACTGAATTAGGTGTGTTGGAGTTGAGAAACAAGGAAAACATGGTCCAGGAGTGAGAACCACTTCCCTAAAGGGTACAAGTTTGGACCCTCTAGGGTTAAATATTGCACCTCAAGGTCTACGTGTTATGCACCATTGTAAGGCTTTTGAAAAAGTTCCATTAATATTCCCAAGTAGTAAAAGGTAAAATATTATATTGTTAAAGTACAATGTCAGGAGAGTAAATGTTTCTTTGTTAAGAGTGGCTTAATCCCATCTTTTATTAAGTAACCTTAAGTAGGGGTTAGGGTTGTGTGTTTAATGGCCAACAGTAGCTCAGGAGGTAGAGCAGGTTGTCTAGAAATTGGGAGGTTGTAGGTTCTATCCTGGCTCCCGCCAGTGAATGCTGC